CACGTGAAACACCCGCAGTCATTGTGTTCTGTGGTTGTGAGGGTGGACGGGGCTCAGCCAGGCGGTTCTCACTCAGGGCCCCTCACACGATGCTATCGCCCGGTGGCTGGGCTGGAGTTGCCGCTAAGATTCCTCACTCAGGTGTTCCCCACGTGCTGGCTGTTGACTCTGGCGGTTGCCTGGGACCACAGCTGGGACACCTACATGTGACCTCTCCATGTTGCCTGGGCTTCTTCCCAGCATGGCAGCTGGGTCCCAGCGAAGGAGTCAAGGGGCCTTGTCCCCCTGCAGATGGGGGCCGTGAGGTCAGAGTTGGGGGCCTGTCGCAGGTTGTGTGCAGCCAGGGAGCATGTTAACAGCGTCTGCTGCACTCTCGAGAGCATGTCCACGCCTGGCTCCTCACAGCGCTCCTCCTGTCACCCGCCATCCAGCCGGGGCCCCTTCCCGAGGTCCTAGGAGCCGCACTGAACAGTGTGGGCCTGACTGCCATCCTGTCCTCCACAGGCCTCCTCGGCGGGGAGGCAGGGTCCTCGTGTGGCCGCCTCCCCTTCCCACGGCCTGTGCCCGGTGGAGCCTGGCTTGCAGACAGCAGCAGGTACCTCGTGCCCCCCACTCCCGCCCCCCAGGCTACTGGGGCCTTTTCAGTTGGTGAAATAGACTCCCAGCTGGGGCTGGCTGAGCCGGGGGGGGGTGCACGACTTACCAGGCGGGGGTTTGTGGGCCGAGCTGTCAGAACTGTCTCCCTGGGAGCCCCAGACCCCTAGCAGAGTACCAGGGTGCTGCTTTCCTGGGAATCCTGCCGGCTTAGCACATGGCCAGTTGCTGGAGCAGGGTGGGGGGGCTCACTGATGTAGAATGGGGGGAGGGGAGTGGGTGGTGCGTGCCTTGCACCTTTCCTGAGGCTTGTGCTCACCGGGGATTGGAACTGAGACACAGACACCCCTTTCCACCTGGCCCACAACTGCCCCCCAGAAGCCCCCTGCCTCTGGAGGGCACAGGTGGGTGAGGGGCTCATGGCGGGTTTCTTCGCAGCTGTGTCCATGGGCTCTGCTGACCACCAGTTCAGCCTCGCGGAGATCCTGTCGCAAAACTACGGTGTCCGGGAGGGGCGCGAGGCAGCCGCTGGGGGCCCCGAGAAGCCCGAGGAGGAGCTGGAGAAGGACTTCGTCTCCCAGGTAGTCACGGGGACCCCCAGGCGTGAGGTGCGGGACCTAACAATAAGTACCCTAGTCCTTCAGATTCTGTAGTGCCAACAAGCACACCTGTCTGGGAGCGGGGACTTGGTGAGGACGGGACTCAGCGGGGGCAACAGTGGGCATGGGCTGGACTTGGTGGGGACAGGCCAGGCCTGGTCTGCTCGCCTTCGTGGGGCTCTTGACATTGGGTGGCCTAGGCAGCAACTAGCTGTTCTCAGATGTTTGGTCTTGTCCTTTCTGCTCTTAGAAATGATCAGGCATCTCAGAGAGAGGTAGATTACTGTGGATTGTATCTGTCGATGGTTACAACTTTAAAAATTAGGTCCGAGACATTTTAAAAATACCTATTTACTAATTCACTTAAGTAAAACCATAATAGTTTTATCACGTTAATAGAAATAACGGTTTTATAAAAATGAACTGAATTTTACAAAATGCAAAACATTTAGGGAGAAGAGCAGTACTGCTTTATGCTGCTGAGATGCTTTTGAAGGCAGAAGCAGATACGAGGATCCAGCTGTTTATTAAACCAGAGATCAATCTGTTATTTCAACGGAAATATAAATCCAGCCTCACACACAACTTTCATAGCAAAAGGAGGGAGTGTTTAGTGGCCTTCTCAGACAACTGTGAATATTCTATCATGTTAGGTGCCGTCCAGTTGGTTCTGACTCACAGTCACCCTGTGGACAACAGAACGAAACACTGCTCGGTGCTGTGCCATCCTCACAATCGTTGTTATGCTTGAACCCATTGTTGCAGCCACTGTGTCAGTCGATCTCGTTGAGGGTCTTCCTCTTGTTCGCTGACCCTCTACTTTACCAAGCATGATGTCCTTCTCCAGGGACTGGTCCCTCCTGATAACATGTCCAAAGTATGTGAGACATAGTCTCGCCATCCTTGCTTCTAAGGAGCACTCTGGCTGCACTTCTTCCAAGACAGATTGTTCGTTCTTCTGGCAGTCCATGGTGTATTCAATATTCTTCATCAACACCATAATTAAAAGGTGTCAGTTCTTCTTCAGTCTTCCTCAGTCATTGTCTAGCTTTCGCATGTATATAAGGCAATTGAAAACACCGTGGCTTGGATCAGGCACACCTTAGTCTTCAGGGTGACATCTTTGCTTTTTAACACTTTAAAGAGGTCTTTTGCCGCAGATTTGTACAATGCTATATGTTGTTTGATTTCTTGACTGCTGCTTCCATGGGCCTTGATTGTGGATCCAAGTAAAATGAAATCCTGGACCACTTCAATCTTTTCTCCATTTATCATGATGTTGTTTATTGGTCCAGTTGTGAGGATTTTTGTTTTCTTTCTGTTGAGGTGTAATCCATACTGAAGGCTGTAGTCTTTGATCTTCATCAGTAAGTGCTTCAAGTCTTCTTCACTTTCAGCAAGCAAGGTTGTGTCACCTGCATAACACAGGTTATTAATGAGTTTTTCTCTAATCCTGATGCCCTGTTTTTCTTCATATAGTCCAGCTTCTTGGATTAGTTGCTCAGCATACGGATTGAATAAGTATGGTGAAAGGATACAACCCTGATGCACACTTTTCCTGATTTTAATCCATGCAGTATCCCCTTGTTCTGTTCAAACGACTACCCCTTGGTCTGTGTACAGGTTCTGCGTGAGTACAATTAATTGTTCTGGAATTCTCATTCTTCACAATGTTATCCATAATTTGTTATGATCTACACAGTGAATACCTTTGCATCGTCAGTAAAACACAGGTGAACATCTGGTATTCTCTGCTTTCAGCCAGGATCCACCTGACGTCTGCAGTGATGTCCCTCATTCCATGTCGTCTGATTCCGGCTTGAATTTCTGGCAGTTCCCTGTCAGTGTAATCCTGCAACCACTTTTGAATTATCTTTAGCAAAATTTTACTTGTGTGTGATATTAAAGATACTGTTTGATAATTTCTGCATTCTTTTGGGCACAAATACGAATCTCTTCCAGTCAGCTGGCCAGGTAACTGTCTTCCAAATTTCTTGATGTAGACAAGTGAGCACTTCCAGCACTGCATCCGTTTGTTGAAACATCTCAATTGGCATTCTGTCAGTGCTTGGAGGCTTGTTTTTCGCCAGTGCCGTCAGTGCTGCTTGGATCTCTTCCGTCAGGACTGTTGGTACTTGATCATATGCTACCTCCTGAGATGGTTGAATGTCGACCAGTTCTTTTTGGTACAGGGACTGTGTATTCCTTCCATCTTCTTTTAATATTTCCTGTGGTGTTCAATGTTCTGCCCATGGACTCTTTCAGTATTGCAACTTGAGGCTTGCGATTTTTTTTTTTTTTCCCAGCTCTTTCAGCTTGAAAAATGCTGAGCATCTTCTTCCCTTTAGCTTTTCCAACTCCAGGTTTTCGCACACATCATTGTAATACTTTGCTGCCACTACACCAGATTTCAGCAGGTGGTGGGTTTGTAACGGTGGTCGCAGAGTGGAACCTGAAGCCATGTTGATAGGAGCCTCCAGCCGTTGGTTTAACGGTCCAGCGTGTGAACTCTTTCCACCATAACCACCTTGCTTGTCGTGTGCCGCAGACACCGTGTGTGTGCCTCCCTGGCGTCACATGGGAGATGAAAAGGCATCTATAAAACTAGTAACTTTATCGTTGATTTTTTAAGTGAAGCTGGTGTTTGTTAACTGAGTGGAGGTGGTCTGGTGCGCGCCCCCATTGGCGCTGGGGGCTGGCATCTCACGGCGCTGCTGCAGGCCCGGCTGTGTCAGCAGAGTGCGGGGTGGTGTGACATCTGAGTGTTACTTGGATCTCAGCTTTGTGTCGGGGGCCCCTGGAAAGGCCTCAGGGGACCACCATCCTTGGGCCATGCTTTGGGAATTGTGTTAGACACCTCCCCCCTCCAAGAGGTGCATAGTCAGGATCTGGGGTAGTTGTACGGGATGCTTTCTATGAGAGAATAAAGGGGCAGCTTGATTTAAGTCAGGGGTAAGGGGTACCACCCTGAGCACAGGCTGGGAGCAGGCGGGGTGGAGAGCAGACAGTGCTGATGCCCTGAGAATAGCAGGGAGTGTCCAGGAGGTGAGTGGCCAACAGCGGCCCCCAGGGACGGGATGGCTGGAGGGCTCTGGCCTTGAAGGAGTGTAGGATTACATGCGGGTGGAGAGGTGCACTGCAGAGGAAGGTAATGGTGTTTTTGTCTATTTCTTTCTAGTGATTAAATGTCTTATTTCTATTTCTTGTCACATTGCATTGGCTGGAAGCTTCAGCATTGTGTAGGGTAGCGAGGGTGTTGTTGAGGCTCTTTTTGTTCCTGGTTGGGGTGGGGATTGCTCCAGTGTCTCAATACTGACCAGTCTTTGTGGGACAGCTTCCTTGTTATGCTGACAAGGCATTGGCCTCTTTGCTTCGTTTTCCTTTTTTAACTAGGATTTTAGGATTTAACTAGGATTAATCTGGATTTTACCAGATGCCTTGTTCACATTTATCAAGATGACCTCATGTTTTTCCCCTCTGATTTCCTACATGGTGGGTTGTACAGTGGAGTTCTGGGTCTCGAGCCATCCTTGCATTCCTGGGGTTAGGCCTGAGTGAGCCAGCACTTCAAGGCGGACGGCATGGGCGGAGGCCAGCGCAGCCTCCTGTCAGTGACGGGGGACTGGACAAACAGCTGGTCTCGGTCAGGTGTCCCCTCTGCACCTTTTCTGGGGCTTGTAACGAAGTCCTTGGGCCGGGGGTAGTTAGAGGCGAGGCTGCCACATGGGATTGCCATGGAGTACGACTGTGGTCCTGGGCAGAGAGCCCTGAGCAGCCCCTGACGGAGCCCTGCCCCCTAGAGCAGCGACATGCCCCTCGACGAGCTGCTGGCACTCTACGGCTACGAGGCCTCAGACCCCGTCTCGGAGCAGGAGAGCGAGAGCACTGATGCCGCACCCCCCCTCCTGGACGTGACCCTGGACAAGGTGAGGAAGGGCAGAGCCAGCAGGGGGCCTGGGCTGCTGGAAAATTCTGTCGTGGTGGGAGGTCACCCCTGCTAGTTGAGGGGGCTTCTGTGAGACCCAAGGCCCTGTGCTGCTCGCTGTCTCCCTCCCTCTCTACCCCGGCCCCTCCCACCTCTGAGAGGGAGAGTTAGGAAGGGCGTGCAGGGCCCCTTGTCAGGCCCCCATGTACGTCTCGGCATGGTGGTGGCTGGCACGTTGTCACTATTACTGGTGTTATCTTGAGGTTTTTAAAACAAACCCAAAGATGTTCTGTACTTTTTTGTCGTTAAAAGGAACAGATAGCGAAGGATTTACTTTCGGGAGAAGAAGAGACACAGCCGTCCGCTGATGACCTCACCCCATCCGTGACCTCACACGCAGCCTCAGCCCTGTTCCCCAACCAGAGCGGACGTAGGTGTCTCCCTCTCCCTCGTGGGGGGACTTCAGGCTGGCAGGGGCAGGGCATGTGTCCTGGGGGTGGTGTTCCCCAATGGACCTTGGTTGTGAGCCGAGCCTCTCGGAGGGGATGGACTGGCTTCTGCTGCTGAGGTTGCAGGGGTTCCGGGGAGCATCCCCAGAGCCCACCCTCCCGTCCTGCCTGCACTGTACCAACCCAAGTCGTGGGGGGCGCTCAGACCTGGTGGCTGAGCACCCACGCAGGAGGGGAGGGCCCTTCTGCCACAGGGGCTGAGCAGGGGTGGCATCTCACCGTCCAGCTGTCTGGCCAGGCTGTGGGTGGGAGTCGGGGGCTTGAGTAGGATTGGGACGTGAATCCCCAAAGCAGTTTGGAGGGGTGGTTGTTACCCTGAAAAAGGATGTGGGGGTACACGCGGTGAAGGCCCTGGGGTCCGCTAATGTGGGGGTGCACACGGTGGAGGCCCTGGGGTCCGCTAATGGGGTGCACGCGGGGAAGGCCCTGGGGTCCGCTAATGTGGGGGTACACGTGGTGAAGGCCCTGGGGTCCGCTAATGTGGGGGTGCATGCGGTGGAGGCCCTGGGGTCCGCTAATGTGGGGGCGCACGCGGTGGAGGCCCTGGGGTCCGCTAATGTGGGGGTGCATGCGGTGAAGGCCCTGGGGTCGGCTAATGGTGAGGGAAGAGGGGGAGCCTGGGTCTGGCCTTGCCCAGGGCCACACCTTCCTGACCCCTCCTTTCCCCACAGCCCGCTTCCTGGCCAGCGGAGACAAAGAGCCTGGCTCCTCCGCTTCGTCCGACGCTGAGGAGGACGCTCTCCCTGCCAACAAGTGTAGGAAGGTGCGTGGCCGTGGGTGGGGCGCGGGGGCAGCTCCCCCTGCCAACAAGTGTAAGAAGGTGCGTGGCCGTGGGTGGGGGGCGGGGGCAGCTCCCCCTGCCAACAAGTGTAAGAAGGTGCGTGGCCGTGGGTGGGGGGCGGGGGCAGCTCCCCCTGCCAACAAGTGTAAGAAGGTGCGTGGCCGTGGGTGGGGGGCGGGGGCAGCTCTCCCTGCCAACAAGTGTAAGAAGGTGCGTGGCCGTGGGTGGGGGGCGGGGGCAGCTCTCCCTGCCAACAAGTGTAGGAATGTGCCTGGCTGTGGGTGGGGGGTAGGGGCGGCTCTTCCTGGCAACAAATGTAAGAAGGTGTGTGGCCGTGGGTGGGGGTTGCCCCAGCCTGTAACCACACTGACACTGTGCCTTGCCCAGTCCTGAGAGATGAGCTGGGAGCTGCCTGGGCCTGGACCCTGAGCCCCACTGCTGACCTGTTTCCTCCCTGGCAACAGGAACCCAGAAGGCCTGCCACTTGGCCTGCGGATGCTTGAGATGCTGTCCTGCGTGCTCCTGGGCCGGGCATCCTTGGGCTAGCACTGTCTGGCTTGTCACAACTGGCCACCCGGCCAAGGTGGCCCGGCCTCGCCTCCTGACCCTTGCCTTTGCCTTCACAGGAGATCATGGTGGGGCCTCAGTTCCAAGCTGACCTCAGCAGCCTGCACGTCAGCAGACCCAGTGAGAAGAGTAAGTGGGCCTGCGCCGGACACCTCATTCCACCAGACAGCCCGTTTCCATGTTTCTCAGGCCAGCGAGCTGGCGATGAATTCTTCAGTTTTTGTCTGAAAAAGCCCTGATCTTGCTCTCATGGGTGTCGGTTTCTAGCTTCTGTTTGAATGGTTTCATTCCATCGTCTCTGGCGTCTGTTGTCTGGGTAAGAGAGTCAGGCGTCCGACCAGCTTTGCTTTCGGAGACATTGTCCCTTTTTCTCAGAAAGAAGATGCTTGTGAGGTGTTTTTCCCTTCAGTCTTCAGCAGTTTGGCTGTGATGTGCCTAGGTATGGTTCTCTTGGGCTTCTCCCGGGCTCCTTGGTTCTCTGGGAATGTCCTTCATCAATTAACGGAGAATTCTCAGCCATCACGTTGTTTCTGCCTCATTTTTTGCTTCTGGGACTCAGTTACACTCACGCCAGGTCGTTTGACCATTGTGTGCATCTCCTAAACTACGTTCTTTCCATTTTTCTCTCTCTTTGGGCCTCAGTTGGGATTCTTCCACGGACCCCTTTTCAGTTTCGCTGATCTTCCCTTAGTCAGCTAGTGCTGCTGTAACAGAAATACCACAAGTGGATGAAATTTATTCTGTCACGGTAGTAGGCTACAAGTCCAAATTCAGGGCGTCAGCTCCAGGGGAAGGCTCTCTGTGTCGGCTCTGGAGGAAGGGCCTTGTCATCAGTCTTCCCTTGGTCTGGGAGCATCTCAGGGCAGGAACCTCAGGGCCAAAGGAAACACTTTGCTCCCAGTGCTGCTTTCTTGGTGGTATGAGGTCCCCTTATGTCTCTGCTTGCTTCTCTCTTTCATATCTCAAAAGAGACTGGTTTAAGACTATCTAATCATACAGACCTCATCAACGTAACTGCTGCTAATCCATCTTATTGCATCATCGCGATAGAGTTTACAACACGTAGGGAAATCACATCAGATAACAAAGTGGTACACAGTCATGCAATACTGGGAATCATGACTTAGCCAAGTTGACAGATATTTTGGGGGGGCACAATTCTATCCGTGACACTTGTGTTTTCCTGTCTGTTCCGCTGTTAAACTTAACCAGTGGGTCACAAAGTCAGATGCTGTAGTTTCCAGTTCTAGAATGCCTGTTTCAGTTTTGGTGTAGATTTTAGTTCCCTGTTGAAATTCTCCCGCTTTTCATCCATTTTGGCTATCCCCCTCTCAGCGCATTAACAGCTCGATCACAGTTACTCTCAGGTCTCTGTCTGCTAACGCGAACTTTGGCTGTTTGCGGGTCCGCTCCTGTTGCCGACATCCTGTCTCTCCCATCTTCCTGCCTCCCAGTGCTGGGTCTGTCTCCGGGACACCCAGGCCCCAGTTCATGTTGCTTCCCTCCTCTCAAGGCTGAGTACCTGGTTGGGCTTTGACCTGGCGTTGGCTGTGGGGGTGGGATGGTGGGTCTGCCTGTGTCTCCCACAGCAGTCGGCACTGGGTGAGGCCCTGCCCGCGTGGGCCGAGTGCCAGCCATGTCTCGGGTTGGGGAGGAGGAGGAGGAGGAGGAGGAGAAGCTCCCTTCCCTGGCAGCGGGCAGTGAACTTGCTGGGTGTCCATCTAGACCCTGTTCCCAAATCCTAGGGGATCGGCAGTTCCCAGCCCAGGTCAGGGTCCTGCCCTGCTTGCCCCGGAATGGATGGGTTTTTGGGTTGCTCAGCGGGCCGAAGCTGGAGTCTGGGAGGCCAGCTGCCCAGACACCCTTGTCTGCACTGAGAGCCGAATGCATCCAAACTCCACCTCTTTTCCTGAGCTTCCTCAGTGCCCCCGTTGCGCCTGAGGTGACAGACTGTTGTGGTGGTATTTATGACACATGGTCAGAACGGCCGGGCTGTAGACATGCCACCCTGACACAGACTGCCTGCCCGTGGTCCCCACGGTGGGCATGTGGGCCCTGGGACCAACTGTGCCCAGTGTCTGGGCCCCTCCCACCGCACCCTGACCTGAGCTTGATGTCTTCGACTGCATTGGCTCAGTGCCAGCCCAGCCTGGGCACCCTCATCTCACTGAGCTGAGCCCAGGAGGAGGGTGTTGGGTGTGTGTGTGAAGTCGGGCAGGGGATTTGAAATTGTGTGTGCACGGCCTGGACGCAAGTTCATGGTGTGACCTTCCCCTGCACCTCTGCCCCCTGCAGTTTACGAGAACGAGGACCAGCTGCTCTGGGACCCCCATGTCCTGCCCGAGAGGGAGGTGGAGGAGTTCCTGTACCGCGCTGTGAAGCGGAGGTGGGACGAGGCAGCTGGACCCCAGCTCCCGGACGGGGAGGCAGTGAAGGACAGCGAGCAGGTGGGGGCTGGTGGGAGTGGCAGAGATGGGGGGCACGGGGACTGGAGTAGCCATACTGGGCCTGATGGGGTACCTGCTACAAGCTCCAGCCATCGTGGTCCGTGTGGCCCCACCCTGCTGTGGTCACTGACCAGGACGGTGTGTGAGCCCCCAGTGTCCCCACCCTGCTGTGGTCACCGCCCAGGACGGTGTGTGAGCCCCCAGTGTCCCCAACCCCGCGGTCACTGCCCAGGACGGCTGTGTGAGCCCCCAGTGTCCCCACCCTGCTGTGGTCACTGCCCAGGACGGTGTGTGAGCCCCCAGTGTCCCCACCCTGCTGTGGTCACTGACCAGGACGGCGTGTGAGCCCCCAGTGTCCCCATCCCCGCGGTCACTG